AGGAGAAGTCATTCAGAAGACTGGGGTGGCAATGTTCCTGAGGAGACATCATTCCCAGACGTGAATAGAGGTTTGACGACTAAATGCCATGCTTCAACTTGAAATAGCCACTTACATCAAACTTCGGGTGGATATGAATAAATTAACGTGACAAGTATTACATCTATGACCGAACCCTGTTTACATGAGAAGAGCTCCACAACAGTATGCGTAACGTCTGGTGCCACTCCATGAAGAATACAGGCTCTGTGTATGGGAGTACAGTATCTGAGGCAGTGCGCACTTTGGACAGACAACATGAACATATATTTAGACAAGATGTTATAACATTTAGGTTCGACTGAGAACAGCCCTGTCTACTGGTTGGGTACGTGAATAATTTCAGTCAGTTTTAATGTTATTACCCTGATGGACATGACCTTCTGAAGGTTTCGATCAGACGGGTGTCAAACTGTAACATGTAACACTTGGCATTGTGTATTCCGATAATTGTTCCACTATGTACATAATGTACGTAATTAAAATGAGGGTTTCGGCGAACTGACTACAAATACATAGGCCTATACTGAAAATTCATCGATCGTTTAATCAGAAGAGTGATGTCACAGATATGTTTCATGTTACGCCATGTTGAATATGTGGACTATTCCAATGAAGCTTCTGAGCTGGATATAATCATACCAACAGCACGTGGTGATTGATGACACTACGATCCTAACGACGTACTATATTCATCCCTTGAAATGATCTTTATTCATGACGTGGCAAGAAGAAGCACATAAACCATATGGGTGCTGTCGATGTACGTCAAGGTATTTAAACCGTCAGGACCGGTACCAGACAAGCGTGGACATGTTGGACGTACACACCTCTCTCTCCACCACAGACTCCCTCGACTCCTCTAGCTCTACCACACTGCAACTGTGTCGTGAAAACTGTGAGGCCATCCAATCAGGTGCTTCTTTAGTTAGTGCTTCATTTATACGGAAGGTAATTGCAAACTTGGTCAGGAACTTTCTTTCAAATCAGGAACGACCGTGAGAACTGAATTATGGATGCATCCCTTAAAATCTATAATTTGTTTAAGGCGTTCATCTGTGAATCACCTATGTTCCTTGTGGTCTTAGCTCCAATTTCCTTGTCAATAAGATGGACAAAACTGAACCGTTCTGTTGGTGGGTTTGTTGTTTAACGCTCATCAATGTTCGAGGTATATGTCGGCGGTATGTAAATAGTCATGTTTGGACCAGACAAGCCAGTGATCAACAGCACGAGCCTCGATCTACACAATTGGGATACGATAAGTGTCAACCAAGTCAGCGAGCCTGACCACCCGATCCCATTACAGCAAGCATGGGTTGCTGAAGATCTTCACAGGTCGAGCCATTCTATAGACAAGGGGATATGAATACCTTTAGTGCCATTGATCCAGGTCAAGGATGCTCCTTCTGTTAATTAAGTAGGAGAACATCTTCAGTAACTCAATCACTGGCCGTAGACATAGTGACGCACACACATGCTGACTAAATTGTCTCAGATTCGGCCTATAGTTTCGCCATATCAGTGCTCCTTGGTGTTACCAAAGTGACAATGACTACAACTTCGCTATTTGGGCAACTACCTGTTGTGACTGTGTACGTTGCATATATAAAGGCGGTACTGGACACATCCATTAGCCATGTACGTCACCAAACTAATTATAATATCTTTGATTTTGGCCACGTAATACGCCTTATGATCGCTTAAAGCAGGGCCAGTGGAGAACAACTGTTGTCTGGAATCCAACCGGGGAAGTACAGGAGTCTGTTGAGTGTGTCACGTCTGGTAACCATGGTGTTATATGTTGTCGCCATGGGCACATCGAAACAGGCGTTACTCCATACATCTATAACCACTCATCACAGTTTTACTACAGGACTCAGTATGTCAGTAACCCACGTCTTCGGGCATAAGCGACTCTTTTCGTGCTATGTGGAAATAAGCGTTAATGAGATCTGATAGAGTTACGTTTTAGAGGCGGAAATATATATCACTACAACGTATAACTAACTGATCGGTGGAATAAAAACATAAAACACGAAGTAGTTGTTATCTGTGAATAGATTCACTGATTGATTGGTTTTCTACAGTCTATTACGTGCTTCACACAAACGATGCACCGAAAAATACGCATACTCTGAAATGTCTTATCAAGTTGAAAAACGACGAAGCGCTTGCGTTATATCTTCAGATAGTCAGACAAAATCGACCGGACCCAGATTCAGTAAACATTGGCCTGCAATACAAAAATGTTTCAATCCGTTTTAAAATCAAGATAGAAACATAGCTCGTCATACTTTTCTTTCAGGGTGATTATGTTATTTTCAACCATGTGTACAGGTCTGTTGATCATTCTCCTTCAGACCCTGAAGACCCCAAACCTCGATAAATGTTTACTCTTCATGTCTACAAGCACTGCCTACAGAGGTCCGATCAAGGTATTGTAACACTCTCGACTAGTTCTGTTCCCCTGCCAATCCTGGAGATTGAATACAGGCGTACACGTGTTTTGAGAACACGTTGACAATAGTGCCAGATGTTGCTGCAAGCATGCCGCCGTAATTGGTGTAAATCCATTTCTGGTGGACGATCTAATCAAATTCTGCTAGCGTTGTGTTTGAGTAAGCGATCGGCCTTCCATCGGCGTGTAGGATGTGGGATTTGTTGTACTTTTGTCGAAACCATCTTCATCTCCTGCCTTTTCTTTGTAAAATGATTCTTTATTTTGCTGAAAGGACTTCAGAAATAAAAGCGTTTTACACTCCAATTGAATCATTATGTCTTGATGGTTGTCTCAAATAAATTGTTCTTAAGGAATAAAATCAAATATTCCTATTATATTACGTCGATCGTTCTAAGATTGATATATCTCAGGTTGGCTCGGTGTAGATTCTCCCAGACTCGTGATAGATTGTAGTTTTATCATAGCGAATAAAGACTACCTAGGCATACCTTCATAACATAGCCCATGCATGCCATACCACAGGATTAGAAAACACCACTTCCCAGTGGGGTAACTGCCTTGAAACAAACTTTTCATCTAGCCCACCCCTACCTTTCCCTCGATGAAGTAAGTATGTATTTAATTTAAACTTGGACAGGGTGGAAGCAAGTTCAAATATAATCCTCTATTTGATATGCCTCTTACATCCTCTCGATTGTCAAAAAACCCAACGTCCAGCTTCAAATCATATCCTGTTGAATTACACGTGGGCTTTATGAAAGAGTGGTTGTGTGAGTGATAACGTCTACTTGTTCCAGCACACCACCGGGCAGTGGCTGGTCTTGATAAACACGCCGACACCAGAGGTTATAAATCAAACCAGTTTGCAGGAAACATTGCCCTGTAGATTGATCATAACATTCTCACTTGATCAATCCGTGCCCAACGAGGTATTAACTTGAAGGGGGCGCGAGATTCAATGTAATCTGGTAATTTGATGGGTTCTCCGACCGAGATGGTTTGAAATACGTGCCATTTGTTTGCCGCGGGTGATAATATACTTTCTCCTGCCCATGGCGCACAGTGGAGAGAGTTTCAGCTGCAAACCAAGAGATTTAATAATCTTAAGGATTCTTTGATTTAGTCTTTTGACAGAAGCGTGGTGCAATGTCATTTTTGCTATCGCTTCAGTTCCACATTTCATCATAGTGCATATGGTCTTAACTGCCCTACGCGGTATAGCTGGTACATGAAAATATCTAGGAAACTATAATTACGCATTTTAGCCCCAGGAGCGGTTCTGGTCTCGCGTATCGACCAAGCCTTGCCTGGTGGAGTGCATGTACATATCGGACACTCCAGCATTCCCTCCTCCCTCCAAGTGCTGGGGACAGACTGGAAGCATATCCCCGTAGACTTAATGTTACGTCGAGGTACAGACAAATAATGACTGTGCGATTGAGAAGATGTAAGGTAAAAACGCAACGTAAATATATGTAAGAAAAATACCATATATTAGTCAGATTACTTTCCTCCCCACCCGACAAAATGTAGGAAAGATGAACAACGAGGAGAGAGTTCTATGGATATACAACTTCTTTAAAGAACTCCTCGTTGTTCATCACACCAACTTCTAAATGCCACTCTAACAAGGAATAACATGGCCTATAATCACCTTTGTTGATAATTAGTGCTTGCACTTGAGAATGTAGTGACCATTATCCTCAATGAGAAGCTATGTGTTCGATAGTATCGACGTGTCTCAAAGTTGATAAAAAAATAGTTTCATTCACTTGGACGCTTCACTATTGCTGTTACAGGGAAGAGATGTTTACACCCTAGCTAGAAAGAGAGCAAAGCGGCAAGAAAAACGCTCGGATTGATATCAGTTCAGATGTAAGTGTTGATGGAAGAATGGAAGTTTGAGTTGAATATTATGTTTTGTAGTGGGAATCATATAACGGCAACACTACCATAGCTATGCATTTAAAGTGAGTGCAATAACTCGGCTAATATTTCAAACAAGAAAGGTTGTTATTTCGAGCTTCTCTTTATTTTCTTTATGTCTATTGTCACAGATGCTCGACAGATCCCACGTTGTTAAGGCTAAGTATCCATGCAAGACGTTGGTGAGAGGAGAACTCCCACCTGATGTAGACCAAACCAAGCAAACAGGTAGATTGTGGTTTTATGTTGTTGTTGATGGAAGCAAAACAACAGTTTCCAAATTTTGATTTCACAAAACCTAACAAGGTTACAAGAAACAATTGAAAGGTGATGACAATTTCCCTGTACTGTAGAATGTTATTTTTAGTTCAGGCATGACACGTTTGCAGTCAGTAGGATATTGACTGTATTTGCTATTAGTGACAGAAATATTACTTTTTGAGATATTGCGAAATTGCTTGTCAGGATTGACGTATCCGGCTTGTTCATTCATCACAAGCTGACAGTTATACCGCTTCCAGGCAGGGACAACAACAACGGGTCCTACTGGACATTCCCTTTGTACTTTCAGCATCATCTCACAGACAAAGACTTCCTGGAGGTGATCCGAGTCAGTCGCTTCCAGTTCTGTCAACTACCAAAGTGGAAACAAAATCAGATCCTGAAGATGGCGCATCTCAATTCCGGTCACACGACCAGTTCACTTTCAAACCAATTGTCTATACCGTGTCTTTCCCTACACTTGCAATCATGACGGGATGACTCAGTCTTCAGACCAGCATTTGACGGTGTTAACGTTAATAATGGTCTGGGATTCAATCCCAGAACCAATAATTCAAAGGGACTATTAAAGGGACGACAACTATTTCACTGGAGTCGTGAAAGTATGATTGTCTTAATGAAAGACGAAAGTATTTACTCTAACCACCGCGAAACCTTTCGTCAAAGATTAGGAAACTTTGTCTGAACAAGTATAAATTAACCATTATTACGTGGACTTCCATGGGAAAGACCCCCATTTCAAAATGAAGTATGTGATTTATCTGTAAAGATCTCCGTTTCCATTATCAACGCAATAACTCGAAATTGGTCTTGACATTCGTTTTCTGAGGCTTCTCAAAAATGGATATTTCAAGATAGGAGATTATGTCTAAGATTGCCGAGAACCCATCGCGGAAATGAAAATATTTGTCTGAATTAGCAGTGTTGATGAAATTCCATTCCTAGGGCACTTGTTGCCACTTAGAAGCAAACAGAATGGCTCTTGGATATAGTCAGGTACTTCACGAAGAATACCCAGTTAATTAGCATCCTCAGAGGAGATGTCCAAAGTTGAAGGGTTATCCACAAATCCAACTTTTGGACTTCTGTTTACATCCGGGTTCTTAAAATCAGCGTCAGAAAGGATATTTCTAGCTTATCCTAAAGAACCATGTTATCATCTCCCGAGCTGCACGCTTGCCTTGAGGGTTTATTGGCAGACTCGTTCAAAAATTTCATTTGAAAGAAGAACATTTATTGCCAATTTTTCTGATTCCCCCAGGCTTGGTAAACTCTTTGATGTGTTCCCTCACGGAGCTGTATTTACGTTTTTCTCTTTACACCAGTGTAATGGCTTACTTAAATGAATGACTGGTGTTGTTTTTACGTTTAATAAAATAATGTAGCTCTATAAAGGCGGTTTGTATTGTAAATGAACACATCTGCGTCAGAAAAGAGAAACTTTGTGGCTGATAACATGTACAAAGTTTAAAATTTATGAGCACAACGATCCATGTCATGGAGACATTGGACGGCCTCATCACCATTCTGTACCAAACATACATGGCTACGTATTTTTCCCTGGAATATACCAGGCGACCTCCCACTCACACGCACCCACTGTATATAACTTACCCGCGTTAGAATTGGTCTTCAGCGACCCATGCTTGTCGTAAAAGGGTAACTAACGGATCGGGTGGTCAGGCTCGCTGACATGGTTGACACATGGTATCGTATCCCAAATGTGTAGATCGATGCTAATATTGTTGATTACTAGATTATCTGGTCCAGACTCGATCATGTACACACCACCGCCATATAGCTGGAATATTGTGCAGTACGAGTGCAACGTTAAATAACCAACCAACCAACACTATATACAACTCTACATATTGTACACCTAACCAAAGGAATTTTTTATTTGTAACTGATTGCAACTCTATATATTGTACTTCTCCTTTCTACGACGTGTGATTGCAAACACTTACAGACACATTGTGGAACTATCCCTGTTTTGCATTGAAGCCCAAAAAGTGCCGTGAAAAAATTAAACAGGAAAAGGGATACTAACGACGAGAAGATACCACCTCGAAGTCATTTAATGGCACCCAAACAACGTATATTTTTGTTTGAACAGCAACATTCGAAGACTTAAACTCGTCTTAATGATTAGACTTTACCCTGTTTAGTGTCCATTACCCATCCGAACTAAAATATCCTGTGAGCGATAGCGATCGCGATTTATTTAGTGAAGTAAAGGGGTTTTTTTTCGCCGGGGATGGAAAGATTAGAGGTTTCCTTCGCCTCATTCCAGCATACATTTTTGTTTTGCTACTTGAACTTGATTGTTGTTTATCCTCTAAGGTCTCCCAATAGACTCATTCAATAAAAAAGCGGCGTAAAACCAAACTCAGTCAGTCAGTCAGTCATTCAATGAAATATTGACATTGAGCCGTAGACTCCTCTTTGAAAGTCCTAGACGTTATGTCATCTAGGATATGGTCTCAACCTGATACTATCTTGGTGCCTACAATTTGGTTACAGACAATCCAGACTGGATTCATCTGGACTATTCTGGAAACTAAATCAAAACACAACCGTTATACAAGGACACAGTGCCAATGCGAGCATTGTCGACTGGGACTAGCTCTTTTCGAACAAACAAGGAAAGATCGATATCACTGTTCCATATTCCCGAACGTTCCATACACAAGATATAAATAATAAACACAATAATCACAATGAACGGAATATATGACCAGAAATCTGAAAGATGCAAATGAACTGCGTTTCCAGCTCGTCCTGAAATGAGATGAGTGCTGTTCCAGTTCAACCCCTGGGCGCGTTTTCACGAGAAGCTGCACATCCTGTTCGCGGTCGTCCTGTACACGCAGAGTAAATACCTCACTGATAAACAGTAAAAATGTACATAAAGAAGCATACAACTAAACATCAATATACTATCACAAAAACTAGGGTATATTCCATTTTTGGTCTGATATTACTTGGGAAAATGAATATCCCAGGGTGTTATTTCGTGCAAGTGTTTTCCATGATATGCCTGTGAACATGGTCGAAGTAAAATTCAGAATTTGCAGTGAATCGTGTTAGGTGTGCTGCTGTACATTTCAGTGATGAAACCAGACCGAAAGTTGTCCTGGTTTTGTTTTAAAACTGAATTAAACGTGTTTTGACCACTTTTATGTCTGGAACGGCTTCGTGCAATCGGCATGTTGTAGCTGGAACAAGACAGGCAGCATTGTGGTACGAGCTCTTCACTTTTCACACTCAGTAATTAGGAATGATTACTATCACGATATCAACAGACAAAAACTGGTCGACCAAGAGCGACGACGAAGAGCGACAACTGGCGCCCAAGAACGTTTCATCAGATCGACATGTGATACGAAACCGTGACCAAAGCCGCATCAAATTGGTGATGAGCTTCATAGAGTCACATGTGTTAGAGTGACAACAGGCGATTTGTAATCGGTTAGACAGATGGAACCTGCATACCCGACGTGCACGTGTTATACCACGATTGTCGGACCGTCACGCACCAAGACGTCGTTGGTGTCAAGAGCATGAGCGCTGGCCCAATTGTCGATGAGCAAAACGTTAAGGTTCCGATAAATCAAGCTTTACTTTCGACTTGTGGCACACTGAGACAGACGGAATGAAGGCTTAATGCCAGTTAACGTTAGACAGAACAATTGATTTGGGGTCGGTCGGCAATATTGACGGGTATCACTGTGACTGACAGAACATCTTTTACGTCTCATTCATAGGGACGTGTCACTGGTTTGTACTTACCATGGCAACATCCTGAAGGCCCACATGGTACTTTGGCGCCGACATGGACGTCGTGTTGTGTTTTAGGATTACAACGCAAGAGCAATACAGGGCTGTTGGTATTGTTTCAGATTACGTCCTGCAGGAGAACATCACCACGGCCAGCACTCAGTCCAGACTTATCACCCATCCTTGTCACCCAACAACCACCGACCACACTCAACGAATTTGGCGATGCCCTGCAGGAAGAATGGGTTTAAATGAACCAAGTTGACAAGGGCGTTTGATTAAAAGTATGTCTCTGTCGAATCCGTGATTGTCTTGAGAATAATGGCGGATTCCACGCGAATATTAATGTGTCTCTCTTATCATGGTGATTAGCGTAAGGGACAGAAGGTCAAACTTTGACTACTCACCTAACAAAATCTTGTTACCATCTTCAACGACTAATTCAAATATCAGGCAGAATAGTTGTGACATATTTGATTGAATATCCCTACTTTCTTTGAATAGTATATATGGGAATGGACAACAAATGGGGAGATGACGACACAATGACCTGGACTTTGAACTTATGGGCATATTCACCGCCACAACCCGGGGATATTCCATTAAGGCTATATATGTCACGAATCAACAAGTCCATTAATGAACAGTGACAGAGTTGCTACTGTTGGTTGACAAAGGCTATATACTATACTATAGTGATGGGGATTAGAGATAGAGATTAGCGTCATATAGACAATGGCAATTAAGTGGTGGAGACATGTACATGTCCAAGCTACATTAGCTTATGGAATTAAGTGCACATTCATTACAATGGCTGCCCTGAACCAGTCGCTCTGACTACAACAGTGTAGAAGTAAAATGTGAATATCCGTCGCCCGAAACTTGTAACCAGGGAGATGCTATTATATAACCGGAAATTAATACGTATTGGAAAATGATGATGGCCCACTTAGAGGTTTAATTGGTGAGATCAAATACCTCACATTAAAGGAATTACGTAATATTGATAATAGACACTGTTCTCAAAGTGAACGAGGATAACAGTTAAAGTTAACTGATATAAATGACCGCAAGGCATAATCTTAGTAGATCCTCAGCCTCCAAGGTTGAACATTTCAAATGACTCATAACTTCATTCACAAGAAGCGATCGATGAGGCCCAGACACGTACCACATTATCACACACGTCCTCTCAGAATGTCAAAGAGGTTCTGAAATGGACAAAGAGTATCTTAATACAAAAGATCAAATATTAACTCAGTCCATTTCACGGCAAATAGCATCATCAAACCTTTGAAACTCTTGTTACAGCGGCACTGATGCTGTCTGTTGAATAATAGCGTAGCTTCTCTGCAAGTAAAGGCATGGGGTTTTGCCCACAGGTAACAACTACTGGTGGTACCGCCGCTTGGATCTGACGGATGTCTGCGCAGTCAAATATCCTCCGGTACAGGTCGGGAGGAAGAAGGCTTTTAGAGGATTGGGATCACAGTGTGTGGCGGTAGCCTGGAAGGCCTAGTGATCTCGGGAATACAACTGACGGCTATTGCATAGTTCGGCAGAGTGGAGCAGTTAGGCAGATGATGAGACGCTTCTGATAGACAGATGGAAAAAGAGCCAAAAGCTCTTTTACATGGTTACTGGGGCATGAGATTCATCTTAAGGGAACATAAAATATAAGTGGGAATTATT